TTGAAATAATCCTCCCATCCATTTATTCTTATTTTGACTAATATCATTGAAATGAACTTTTTTTTTTTTTAACATGGAGGAAAAAGCTTAAACTAATAAATAATTACTTGCTTAGATTTATTTAATTAACACAATCGTGCCTGGAAAATATCATCATTAATCATATTTCGAAAATTTTTTAGTTTATCTCGAATAAAAGAAAACAACCGGGTGTGAGAGATTTAAATTATGTCTACTAATCATTAATCATTTTCTATTCATGTCTCTGGAAAAAGTTTGTTTTTATTTATCAATAAGATAATTATACTTTTCATCACATTGAGCCAAAACCTATAAATCATTTTAATTCTTCTTTTGTTTTCTTTTTTTTCTTTCCGAATAACAAAGAATTCTATAGATAAGTTTGTTTTATAGTACAAAAACATATTATCGATCTTTTCTTTTACAAAATAAAGATTTATAAATAATATTTATTGTTAAAAAAATATTTTAGTTAAAATTTATTTTTTGTTTTTTTTGAATATTATCAAAATCAAATTAACATAGTATGAGTCGTGCAATAATAAATCATTGTTGTAATTCTAGTACATTACAATCCCTAATGTTTTTCTTTTTAGTGAACATGTCATGTCTTAATAATAATTGTTCCGATTGAAGTAAAGTTGATTATTATGCATCATTGAATGATTTCATTTAGATTTGTGTAAATTAGCATTTGAAACATAAAAAAATTTATTACTTCAACCAAAAAAAAAAGAATCTATTTCACATTTCAATGAATTCTAAGTTATGTTAATTGAGAGAAAAAAAGAAACATTTTATTCTCATTTTAACCGGCTTGTATATTATATATCGAAAAAATTTTCAAATTAATAAAAAACGATTCTTTTTTTGCTTCTATCTTGTAGAATTTAATAATCATAAATTTAAATCATTTAATAATCTCAAACTTTTTTAATCTATTAAATATTTACATTAGAAAAAAGATAATCATTAGTATATACTTAATTAACTTTTGTCTGTATTTCTAAGTCATTGTTATTACAATGACATTCAAGTTAATTGAAAATAATCAATCATGCATCATCGATTAATATGTTTCACTTGTTGTTGATATGTTATATACATTTTGAGAAGATGAAGTAAAGTATGAATAGCCTAATCACAAATGAATGGTTGCATTATTGATTATACTGAACAGCACTATACCGACGGCATATGCCTGTCAAGTGACTTCCGTCATAATATGATCGCTTACTTCTTGAGACATTGTAGAGTGAAATATATACACACATACGTTCAAAATAAAACAAAAGCAAGAATAAGCTTCTACTTTTTCACCGCCATATTATGCAGTCAGTGATTATCAGTATTATGTATATATGTGATTTAAGTAAGTTTTTTTTTTTTTGAGATATAGTCTGTTTGAGTATAATATAAGGGCAAATAGATGAAAGAAAAGAAAACATATATTGCACATCAGCTAAGTTTCGAATATCAATCGTCGGTCATCTGTCGCCTCTAAACAAAATCTTTTTCTGTTCGTCTTTTATAGTGTCGTGGTGAAGAACCTTGATATAATACATTGATAACACTTGTGGGTTTCCTTTTTTTTTTTTATCGCCGACAAAATATATTTATATCAAAAGAAAAAAAGGATTTGAACATTCTTTTTTTTTTCATCATTGTGACATCAATCCGAAGGCTTGTGTCTTCTTTATTATATTGATTGTTATTGAGGAACACATCAAGAGTTTTCCTCATCACAATTCGTCTGTTTTATCGTGTTATTGAACATTTTATCATTTTGAATTTTAATTCAACAATGAGATTAATACCATCGTTTCAATTACGTACATTGGGTCTTGGTCATTGTAAGTATTTGAATAATGTCGAATTGATATTGTGTCGTTTTTTTCTTTCTTCTTTTTAATTTAACAAAATAATTTGTATAAGGATAGGTTACATCTTAATCCGCACGTTTCTTTTTTTGTTTTATGTAATAAATTAATACTTATACCCTTGAATAGAACGAAGGTGTACATCCAGAGAGCAAGTATGTTAGACATAATGTCAAGGATTTAAGAATCATTTTTCTTTCTTTTTTTTTTCTCTTATGCGATGTTCCAGCTGCTGCTGCTGTTACTAGACAGAACCCGATGACACAATTCATTATACGATCGTTTTCTATTCTATGATAGACAGTTGCGTGTGAAGAGAATACAGTACGAGTTGATTACTTGAAGAGAAGAAATAAAAAAAATAAAAAAGAAGAAAGAAATCACTTGAATCGACAATATCGGTCATCGTCTTACAAATACATTTGTTTTATAAGACCATATTAATTAGACAAGTAGTAGTCATCGTACAGATGCTTGTCGTTATTACTCTTGTTCTTGTTGTTATTGAGCATCCTTATGATGTTATTTGCATATGTACGAGTTCCATTGAACGGAACAAATGAGTTGAAGGAATGCATTGTACAACGTTAGTTATTGATGAATGTTCCGGCAGGTTTCAATGACAAATGAAGATTGATGCTAGTTAAAGACATTCAATGTTCTTTTTGACTGTTACCTTTCATAGTGCAATTCAATGAATAAATGTATGTAAAATGGGATCAATGAACGTGTGTGAATGACAAATATGATGTTGATGTTTTTATTTTTTCTCATGTTTGATGATGTATACTTAGTCGTTATACATGCTAAAAGCGCGTGCCGGATTCTTTTTTTCTTTTAACATATTTCGTTATCATTAATTCAATGGATGAACTGTAAATTATCCTGCTCTCCTTTCTAGCAATAGAGTGAAAAAATGTATGTGAGACAGATGGTCAATTGTACAAAGCTCATCCTTTTGTGTGAATATGCGTATGTTGCATGTGTGCATGATTTTTTTTCCTCCCCTTTTTTCTCTCTCTCTCTCTCTCCTTGTCTCTCTATGTCGACTCTTCTTCTACAGCTTTACAGACATCATAGCATTGATCAATATGAATAGAGAAAGAAAATGCAAACGAGTGAGTAACAAAAAGAAAAAAAAAAGACAAACGACGTTTTTAACTCTAGTGTGAAGTGTAATAAATACTAAGAAGGGAAAAAATCGAAGAGAAATGGTATGACAACCATTAAATAAAGTTCGTCAAAGAATAATTTTAATAATTGTAACTGTACATTTTTCTCTTTGATTTTTTTCCTCTCTTGAAATAACATAAGTGTTTCGATTAAAAAATTAGTTACATTTTATTATATGTATATATGCATGAAAGTAAACTCCTCTCCAACCAACGGCAACGTGCTCATCCATTGAATATTTTGTGAGTAAGATAAAAAATGTAACATAGCATAAATGAAGAGTAAACGAAAGATTCCTACTGATTGAACACGTTTTGTATGTGTGTAATCTTCTGTTGATAAATGGATCGGTGAATGAAAGGACACCCGCCTCCCATCTCTTTTTTCTTCTTTTTAGTCTTCTTTACTTGAAGTAAATATACATAAAAATGTTCACTCATATAAACAGAGTGTAAGATTAAGAAGAGAAAGAACAAACGATAAAAATCATCATCTATATATAACTATTATTACTTCAAGAGAATGTATAAATGTCTATACATATTCGATTATGCAAAAAAAAAAAAAAAGGTTCACGGGCAAATTCAAATGATTTAACTCGATACGACATTTTGGTCTGCGCTTCATAAAAAATAACATTGATTGTAGTCGTTCGATAACTTATGTGTTATATGTGTGTGTCTCGTCGTGCTCAAAACGACCGAGAAATTATTATTATTATTATCGCATGTTTCTTTTCGTGAGGTATCCTTTTTTTTTTTTTGCTCTTTGACGAGACAGACAGACATAAATATGAAAATGAAAGTTGAACATCATACATCTTGTTGTTTCCCTTGTCTTCACTTAATTTATATTAAGTGAAGAAAAAAATGAAAGAAGAATATCATTTAGTAAGTTATTATATTATAAATTTTTTTTTTTTTTTTGTTCTTTTATACTTGCTCCAGATTGATTGTCATCTTTCTTTTTTTACATATCTCATACATATATATTTGTAACAATGGTTGATTGTCTGTCATGTCAGAGTTGTTGTGGAAGTTTACGTTCCACTAAACTTTATCCCAAAGAAAAACGGCCTCTATCAAGAAAACGTGCTGCTCAAAAAATTTATCTACAAAAACAAATTCAGAACAGTAATGTTAATAAAAGTAAGTGAATACGTTTCTTTTTTGTTTTCATTTTATCGTTTTACATATGATATTAATTAATTCTATCGGACTATAACATGATGTAATAACAATAAGTAACTTGAGAATTTCACATATGTTTACGCATAGTTTCGAGAAGAAACAAAATTCATTATAAAGCTTTTTATTCTTACATTTATCTATTGTATATATAAATTTAATTATAGAATAATAATTTTGTTATTAAAAAATAAATATCAAAATTTTCTAATTGATTAGAATAAATATAAAACATGAAATGTATATCATATTTCCTTTTTTTATGATCTCGTAATTGATAATTTCATTTTGTTTTTCTTTTTTTGTTTGTTGTGTTGTTTTTAATAAGTAGATTAAATTTAAAACATATGCTTTTAAATGATTAGATCATCAATATTTGCATCAGCCGGAAGCTGATTATGCACTTATTTCTGTCGAGACATATATTTGTATAGTCATTATTTCGACAACAACAATAATAACACTACCACTAGCCTTCATCTATAGACGAACGATAGAGTTGATCCGCTTTAATCAATTCAGTTGATCATCTTCTGTTTCTCGTTCGCCTTGCCCATCTGATCCTCGTAATTAGTCTTTTTTTTTTCTTTTTCTTTTGTTATTCGTAAAGATCACTATTGTACATAGAGAAGAAAAATGAGAAGATTAGTATCATGTCATTGTTTTAAACTTTAACTTAACTACTACAAGAAAAGGTAACAACGATTAAATATAGTCAATTGTTAAAAAGATCATCGACATGCAAGACATTGAACAAGATTCATATAGTTATCATCGATTACATGAAAAGATTGCACTTGTGTCATTACTTATGAAAGAGATGAGAGATGAGCAACAGCAGCAGCAGCAGCATCCGCAAAGTTTTTTTCTTTCATCTACTAAGAAACGTTTGGGTATCTCTTTTTTTTTTTTTAATTTTAAATTTTTTTATACATTATTCATCTTTTATTTATTTAGGTACGTTTTCATGTGACAGTTTAAGTTGTGTAAGTAGTAATGTACAGACTAAAATGAAACATCGTGATGTTAATAATAATAAAAATAATAATAATAATAATAATAATATATCAACATCAATGGCAGATGAACAGAATCATGTACTAGAATTTTATGTGTTTAATATTAGTCATGAACGTAATCTTAATTTAATAATTGATTCCAATGATAAACGTTTAATTATTTTTTACAATATTTCCAATGGTTTATATGCAATTGGAGTTAGAAATGGTATGTTAAATTTATTTTTTCTTTTTTTTTTATGTTAGTACTAAGATGATAACATATCTGAAAATATTATTCAATTATATGTTTTTGGTCTATTCATTTAAATATGTTTTTTGTCATTGAAGCAGCTAGCATGATGTGATTCAGTAAATGTATATTACCCACTAGGGTATTCGAATATGACTGTTCGTTGTTTCTTTCTTTCTTTTCTCGTTCTTTTTCTTGTTCTCATCATTCATTCTTTCTTTTCCTTTGACATTTTGCCCGTAAAAGACATCGGACGCCGCTTCTATACTGAAAAAAAACGCTTAACCGGCAACCAAGTCAGACAACATAGTTGCAGTAATAACGTTATTTCTCTTTATAAAATATATATATATATATATGCGTGTTTGTGTGTGTCGTTGTTGATCCTTAGACGAAAACGCAAGAATAAAATTTTGCGTGTTCTATGCTGTTTTCTGTGAGCAATAGTCACGATTATTTAATGAAGATATACACAAGGTTTTGTATGCAATTCTTATGATAATTTACAATCATATTTATTATTACAATGTATGAAACATAAACAATGTTTTAACTCCATGTATGATCAAAGAAACCTTGACGATAAGGATAGAAAGAAGCAAACAGTAACATTAACCACTCGACGAATGTTTATGCGTATTTATCATTTACGTTATCATCGAAGATATAGAATTATTTTAGTTTTATTTGGTTTTCTTATTTTTGCTTATCTTATTATTAAACAAATGTCATCGAAACAATATGAACCAACATTAATACTTGATAATGAACGACATTTATTTATTCGTTTATTTAAAACCAATGATTTAAATAGAGAAAAAATTCGTCCATTTCGAATTTTAAGTGGTTCATTACATTATTTTCGTGTTTTACCACAATTGTGGTCTGATCGTATTGAAAAAATGAAAAAAGCTGGTTTAAATACAATTGAAACATATATTCCATGGAATTTTCATGAACCTGAAATGGGAAATTATAAATTTAATGAAGGTTTAACTGATTTAGTTAGTTTTTTAAAATTAGTTCATCAACATGAAATGTTCACAATAATTCGTCCATCAGGTAAAAAATAAAAAATTCTTGTTTTTGTCAAATTTTAATTTAAATATTTATTTAGGTTATATTTGTGCTGAATGGGAATGGGGTGGTTTACCAAGTTGGTTATTAGAAGATGATCAAATGCGTGTTCGTACAACACATCCAAATTTTATAAAAGCATTGAAAAATTATTATTCAGTTTTATTACCTATTTTATCTGAACATCAATATAATCGACATGAACAAGGTTCTATAATTGCATTTCAAATTGAAAATGAATATGGAAGTTATGGTAATGATAAAGATTATCTTGAAGCAATACGTTCAATGTATATTGAATATGGTCTTAATGAATTATTCTTTACATCAGATGGTAGAAATGATTTTTCGAAAGGTTCATTAGATGATGTATGGGCAACAGTTAATTGTCAAAGACAAATTAAAAAAAATGTTGAAAAATTACTTGAATTTCGTCCAAATCAACATATTATGATAACTGAATATTGGACTGGTTGGTTTGATTATTGGGGTGGAAAACATCAAACAGGTCAACAAAGTGCATATACTCCAAAAGAATTTGAAAAAGATCTTGAAGAAATTTTACTTAATTCAAAATATGAAATATCAATTAATTTTTATATGTTTTTTGGTGGTACAAATTTTGGTTTTACAAGTGGTGGACATCATTTTCCATCAGAAAAATATGCACCACTTGTTACATCATATGATTATAATGCACCATTAAATGAATCAGGTGATCCAACAGAAAAATATTTTGTTATACAAAATATAATAAAAAAATTCTATGAACAAAATTCACAATTAATTATTTATAATCATGAACGTATAATTGATGATACATTTGAAATAATTCAACCTAAAATATCAAAAAAAATTTCTTATGGAAAAATAAATATATTTGGTTATAAAACATTTGAACAAATACTTAATGATGATATTTTAACAAATAAATATCATATTCAAAATGGTCCTTTAAATATGGAACAAATTCAAATTAATAATAAAACAATTAGTGCATCACAAGGTTTTATTGTTTATACAAATAATAATATTCAAAATTTAGTAAAACAAAATGAAGAACATTATATAGTAATAACAGCTATTGCAGATAATGCTATTGTACTTGCTAATGGAAATGTTATACATAAATCTTTACATACAGATAATTCATTTCGATTTAATGTACCATCAAATACATCTTATTTAACAATTATTGTAGAAAATATGGGACGTATTAATTATGGTCCTACACTTGATCGTAGTCGAAAAGGTATTTTAGATAAAGTATTATTTGATAATAAAATTGAATTAAAAGAATGGACAATACATGTATTAGAATTTCGTCAAGGTATGTCAAGTATTACAGATTGGAATAAATTAATAATTGATAATAAAAATTCAAATACAATCTATGATCTTAAAAATGGTCCACAATTATTTTATGCACCATTTGAAATTGCAAATGAAAATTTCATACAAGATACATATTTAACATTCAATGGTCAATGGTCTAAAGGTGTTGCATTTGTAAATGGTTTTAATATAGGAAGATATTGGAGTATTGGACCACAACTTACATTATATATTCCAAAAGAATTATTATTTAAAGGTTTTAATCAAATACAATTATTTGAATTATATACATATGGAAAATCTATCGAACTCGTTGATACACCTGTGATCGATGCGTGATAATTATTTTTGTTTTGTTTTATTAGAACAGTTCGAATCCTTGTTTGTTTGGCTATTATTATGTTTACTATTTGAAAATCGATTGAAACGATTTCTGTATAATTGAAAATTTTTTTTTTTTTATGTTAATATTTTCGCAAACACTATGCTCTTTATAGTTAAGGTCAGAAAGGGATAGATACATTTCATAGCAAAAAAAAAATAGATCTAATTATAAATATGAATCAATGCATAAGTTTATGAATTCATTTACATGAACAATTTGATAAGAATCTATATTTAGTAACGAAAGAGGCTTCGTGAATAGCATTCTTCATGAACTTTTTTATATAATTTCTATTTCATAAACATGATTTTTTTTTTCCTTCTCAAACTATATTTTGATATAATTGAAGATTCATATATTTAAACGAGAGTACACCATTACATAGTATGGTTTTTTTTTTATTAAGTTTACTCAGAAATAATACAAGACAAAAAAAACCTACAAGAAATAAACGTGTAGTTTATATAAAGACATTTAATTTTTTTGAATATTAAATAATGATGACGAATGTGTAATTCTTACGTCAATGATATTCATACGATTAATTATTTAGAAATTAATCTCCTTACTATTTCAAATTATTGAATATAATTAATTAATTAAATATTTACTGTAAAGTGAAATCTCACTGGATGTAAACATCTTTATATTAGGCAATCAATAGTCTGCTGAAGAGAATTTTCCCAGGGACGAACTTCTCAAATATGAGTATTTCTTTATTGTGAGCACTGAGCGCTTCCTTCTGGCCCCATAAGCAATAAAAACCTCTTTAATGTGCGCAACATATGTTCTATCACTCACACATAGGACGAGATAAAAAATGATATTAATTTTATTGCGTGATAATAAACAATCATGAGACGCATGTAAAAAAAAAAGAAATGAATTCATTGTGCGTATTTCAAAGAAAAAAGAAACCAATATTAGACAAACAGTAACAGCGCCTTGTATAACATTTCATCCTTTTTTGCGTTAACAGCTAGTAATATTAAATTATGCCAACATATGTTGATTTACCTCTAATTAAAAAAGTTGAATAAATAAATCGCTGGAAAGAAGAAGAAGAAAACGATTATCTTATGCAATCGAACAGCGATTACAATTGAACACTTCTAAGTTGCAAAAAAAAAAAAGAAACTGAAAAGCACCTCAATAATAATAAGTACCTCGATAAAGTGATCACTTTTGGCTGATCCTGATGATACTCACATTAAAGAAATCTTATTGTGTATGATAATAGAAATTGTTTTTTTTTTTTGTCTTTGTTAAGCAACTCTAACATATAAGATCCTTCATATATAAAAATCTCTTTTTCTTCCATATGTCATTGAAATTTGTATATCTATATACAATAATGATCATAAGTAGATCAATTAAACTTTTTGTCATATACGATTGACACTATTTGTCAAAATAATGATCACACGAGTATATATTTAATAGACGACATTTTTTTCTTTCTTTGCTCATACATATAAAAAATTCAAGGATAAACTAACACTTTATTGACAAGTTGATTTATTTAAATATTTATACACATGTAAAGTTTATTGAATTTTTTTTTTGAAAAGAACTATTACATGAAAAAACTCAATTTTATTGGATTCAGTATTTTATCGAGATTTGATTAATCTTCCGGAAGGGCAAACAACTGTTTTTAGGAGCATAGACATATTTTACATGCTGCAATAGCTACAAACTTCGGATGGGTGTTGTCCTCCCTCGCTGGATAAAATATTGAATAGACTATCGATTTAGTAAATTAATTTTCATCTTTCAAAGTTAAACTATCAATATTTTAATTAGAAAAAAAAAAGGAAAATTAAATATGTTTTGAAAATTCTAAAGAGAAAATTAAAATCTTTTTCATTTAATATTCATAGAAAATAATTTACAATAACAAACTCTATTTTAATCAAATTTTCTCAATCAATTATTTCTATTTAAATTGATTTAAAATTCAAAAAACTTATTGAAATAATTATTTTGTTTTTTTTTTTTTTTTGATATTTTTTAGGAGATATTCTTGTTTTTCTTAATGATAAGAATATTTTTAAATCACCAATAACATTAACAAATGATCATATTAAATCAGAATTTTTAACATTACGTCGACATAAAAAATCAATATCTATTGGTATATGTCGTTGTACAGAACGATCTCTATTAAATAATACAACAATACAACATTTAAGTTCATTAACATTAGATGAATTTAAAAAATTATCTCTTGAACATTCATCAACACCATCACCTAATGAAAGTCGAAAATCATTAACTATTACAGATGAAATTATAACAAATACAGATTTAAAAACAATTTCAAATAAACATAAATTGATACATGAACAACACTATAAACCATTGGTTTATAAACGTAATACAAGTCCAAATAGAGATAGTGGTTTCATTGAAACAGATGGTAAATATAACATTTAAAGAGATAGGAGGCCATATCTTCCTATGACATGCCATCAAATTTGATCAGTTTGTTGAGAAAATACCTTCAATGTATCTGAATATTACAATATCTTTTGAGTTATGTAAGATCTAACAAGAGTTATGACATTTGCAAAATTTGTTTATTTGATGTCAGTATACAAAGTAATCTTTACCAAGTCTATTACTCTTACAATGCCTTATGGGAAAATTTTCCTGATGACAACTTGTTCAATAGATTTTTGCTTCTATGACATGACATATTCTGCTTTTAGAAGAAATGTCATTTTCTTGATGTTGGAGCCTTCAAGATATATCTGAAGGTGAAGTTTAGCATACCATGAAAAGTAGAAGTTTTGTGAAATATTAAATTATACGCTTGAGCATCATTACTTTTCAATGAAATTTTGTATGTAGTAATGTCTATCCATTAGGTATAGTATCTCTAAATAACAAGACATTTTTTACGCTGTACTGAAGAAATATAAAAAAGATTTAATTAGTATTATAGTTACGACACTGATTCAATTATTTTTTATGTCTTCAGTACAGCGTCAAAATGTCTTCTAATTTGAAGATAATATACATGGTAGATAGACACTTGTACATACACAAAGTTTCATTAAAAACTAATGATGCTAAACCGTGTAATTTAATATTTCATAAAACCTCTATTTTTCATGGTATGCCGAACTTCACCTTCAGACATATCTTGAAGGTTTTAACTTAAAAAAAAAACCCGATATTTCTTTTAAAAGTAGAATATGTCATCTCATAGAGGAAATCTATTGAACAAGCTTTCATGAATAAAATCTTCCCGAAAGGCATATTATAAGTGTAGGCGACTAGGTAAGGATTACTTTTTCTATTGACATCAAATAAGTAAATTTTGCAAAGCTTATAACACCTGTTAAACCTTACTCAAACTAAAAGATATTGTAATATTCAGATACTTGAAGGTATTCTCTAAAAATTGATCAAATTTGAGGACATGTCGTAGGAAGACATCCTCAGCTTATAACTATTAAGTTTATGTTTTATTATTTTATATAAATGTTTAGGCACAAATACATCGATGTTAACAGATCGTAGTGTTATTTCAAATGTTAATAATAATAATAAACGTCGAAGTAAAATATCATTAGAAAAAAGTGAAGATGGATCAATGGATACACATAAATCACTTGATTCACTTCAACAATCTATTTCAAAAATAACAACAACAACAACGGAACCAACTAAAAAGAAACCATCTAGTTTGATGTAAGTAAAAAGACAAAACAAAAAAGAATTCAAAGATTTTAAAATATATTAATTATTTAAAATTTAGTTATTCTACACAAAAACGTGATAAACATGTTCGAACTCAAGATAATGTACCAATTCAAACTGTTACTGATGCATGTTTTATTTATCGTCGTCAAGTTGTTAAACAAGATACGAATGATGATGAAAAAGCAGCTATAATTACTCGTGGTCGTGAAATAGCATATGAAGCTGCAAATACACCAACAATTCCATCATCAATGCCTAATTATACACGTGATCAAATTCGAGAACTTTATGGTGAATTAGATAAAAAAACACGTCGTTTACAAGATGATGAATATATATATCATTCATCAAATGGAAAACATCAATGGAAATTAGCATCACCAACAAATATGAAAAAAATTACTGAATGTCCATTACCGAAATTTCGTCTTGATAAAACACCTGAACATAATGATGAAACATTACTTATGGCTGCATATTTATCAACAGGTATAACAAATCCACGAATAAAACCAATTGTACCTATTGATAATTTTCATTCAGTTATGATGAATGCAAGTGCAAAAGTTAATGAATGGGCACATAATAATGAAATATATTTAACACCAATTAATAAAAATATTATTCATACATCAAATAATGATCATTCAACAATGAATTCATCACCACCATTAGTATTTGATGTTCATTTTAATATAAATCAACTTGCTGCACGTACACCAACAGATAATAATAATAGTAATCGACCAACATTCTTAGAAGTTATTGAACAACAACAAACAACAGATCATTCAAATCAAACTAATCATAATCAAGAAAATCGTCGTTCTATTCGACGACAACCAGATACAACAGATACAATATCATCATCACCTGATTCAAATGATATTGCTTTAGAAACAACACCGTCAACACCTGGTTCATGTGGAATGTATCTTGAACCTTATATGCGTCGAGGTTATGATTTACCATCAGTTGATCATGATATACGAGATTCTTCATGGCAACATACTGATAATGAGGATATTGATGAATCAATTAGATCAATGAAAAATGTAAGTTTGATTTTTTTTCGAAGAAAAAAAAATACATTAATTAAGTATAATTTTCATGTCTTTTTCTCTTTCGAAGAGGATATTTAAAATTTCGGACGGGCGAAAATGTATTTTTGGAGGTACAGTAGGATCTGTCGGATGCAAAATTGTTGGACTCGGATTAGGGCTGCCAGCTCTGAAGTGTAACCTATCGAAAGTGGCGCTACTTTCAATGTATTGTAGTTCAGACTTGATAGATCCGATCGAACAGTACTTTGATGTTCTCAATGAAATTTTCTAATCGGAATTGGATAGCCCTCCCGAAGATACGAGATGGTTTTTGCATTCAGTGACTAGCGCATCCTACACATTTCTCAGACGGCTAGAGACCATAAAGTTCAACATTTGTTCAGCCCACACTCGACAGGCTCAAAAGTACAGACACATAGTACATCATACAATAAGCACAAACTTCTGAAGGGCCCGTTCGATGTTCGAAGGGATGCCGTTCCCTTAACCTCCCTCGCGCGCGCTAGATAAAACACCGATACAATTAAAAATCTATTACACACATTGTCATTAATTTCAAAATAATCAATAAATAATGAATATAATTTATATCATGTCATTTTTAATTCTAATTGAATTTTCTTTGATTAGATAACTCCAATTGAAAGTCCAACAACATCAAAGCTTGATACTAATATTCTTTCATCACAACCAATGACATCTCAAATTAATGATATGGATAGTTTGATTGATTTGGAAGATGGTACAACTGTTTCTTATCACACAGCTAAAGAATCTCGTCTGGATAACACTAATCAATCAACATTGTCTGTTGAAAGTGATGAAACAGTAAGTAGTACTCATCATCAACCTAGTGTACGAGATGAACTTATAAATAATACTATGTCACCGGAAGAAAGTTTTTATTATGATGCATGTACATCACCTACACAAACAAATCAACAAACATTACCATCAACAGATAAACAAGATATTCTTATAGATAATTTAACAAATTTATTAGAACAAATTGAAACATTTAATTATAGAAAGCAACAATTATTACCAACAGTTGATGAAGAAAAATCACGTTTATCACCTGAAGGTGAAGAATCAACAACAAATATTGATTGTTTAGTTACAATTGTTGATGATATACATGAATATAATCAAAGAAAAACAACAAATACAATGGATAGTCTTTTATTTATTTATGATGATGATATTAATGATGAACAAGCAAATTCATCAATTGATAATCTCGTTGAAATTGTTCATTCAGCTCATGAAACAACCGTATGTGTTAATAATTTACTTTTTATTTATGATGATGCTATAACACCAACGGATGATGAACCAAAAAAAATAATAAATGATTCAGATGAATGGTCATATGATAATTTAATAATTGATCAAAACGAACAAAATAATATTGATAATTTAGGCCTTATTATACATGATGCTTTAACAGTTAGATTTCAAAAACCAATTAAATCTCAACAAATTAGTGAAGTTGAAGAATTAACAACTAATATTGATAATCTAACTCCAGTTGTACATGAAATTTTAACAACAAAAATTGAAAAACCAATTGATGAAATTAGTCATGAAATTGAAGAACCAATTTTTGATATTGATAATTTAACTACGATTGTTCATGAAGCTTTAGCAGCTCAATCGCAAAAATCAATAAAAATAAAAACAACTGATCAATTTAATTCTGATGTTCAAGAAATGATTGATGAATCAATGACTGATACACATAATCTAGGTACCATTATTCATGATACTTTATCAACTAGATTTCAAAAACCAATAAAAACAAAAACAACTGATCAATTTAATTCTGATGTTCAAGAAATTATTGATGAATCAATGACTGATACACATAATCTATGTACCATTATTCATGATGCTTTATCAACTAGATTTCAAAAACCATTAAAAATAAAAACAACCGATCAATTTAATTCTGATGTTCAAGAAATTATTGATGAACCAATGACTGATATAGATAATCTAACTATAATTGTCCATGATGCTTTATCAACTGGATTTCAAAAACCAATAAAAATACAAACACCTATTGAAATCGATCATACATTTCAAACAGAAATATTTCCAGAATTTATTGATGAATCAATATCTGAAAATCTAGAAAAAACAACTAATGAATTCGATCAAGAATCTAATCCTTCTGTTAATGAATTAATAGATGATAATATTCATACATCAGAAACAATTATTTATGAAATTGAACCATCAAATGAACAATTAAATCCTACGATATTAGAATCTCAATCATTACCCGTTAGTAATCTATCACAAATAATTAGTGGCACACTTTTAACAAGTTCACATTATCATCAAGATAAAAATAAAATTGAATATAATATTAAACATCAATCATTATATGATGAAGAAATTTATGAAGAATATGGTTATCGTCGTACAACAACAGATTCAAATACAGATGATATTGTTGAAAAATATGAAGAATTATGTCGACGTTATTTATCGAGTTGTGATCAATATCAAACAACAGCTAAAAAATTAGATGATGAAATAAATCAATTTGAAAAAGGTTTACATGAACAAAAACAAAATATTTTAACACCAACAAGTGATACAACAACAAGTGAAGAATTAATAACAACAATTGAACGTGTTATTGATATGCGTGATCAAACAACAGTTAAAAGAAATGATACAGATGATTATTGTTTGACATTAAATGTTCAACGACAACCAAATTATATAGGAAAATATGGTTTTGATTTTGAGGAAATATATGATGGAAAAATTCAAGTTTCAAAAATTCTTGATGAAATCTATTGTCCCAATATAAATATTGGTGATGAAATTATTAGTATAAATAATGATCGAACATTTAAAACATATGAACAATGTCAAAAATTATTTGATTCATTATGGAAAAATGACTATGAAACTATACAAATAACTGTTATTAAATCAGCTAACAACATTCCAATAACAAAAAGTAAATAGATAATAAATTTATTTAAAAATTATTTCTTTTGTACACATTATACTATATTCTCTGTATATTTATTTTGTAAATTCATAACTCCAAAAAAGATAATCAAGAATTAACGTTAGTTAGTTGAATTTCAAGATCTATATTCAATGTTATAACCGATAGGAATTGTAGTGCTCTATCTTATTTTATTTATTTTTATCTATTAGAAACTAAAGTAGAAAAATAAGTCAATTTAATTTAAAGGATTGCGACTGTTTCAGAGATATACGGAGTGACTTTTTTTTTTTGGTCCAACAAGGAAAGTCCTCCAACTGATAAATCGCTTTTAACTCCAAGCTATAAATAAGCTATGAATATCTTGAAAAACAGTTCCGATTCTTAACTTATTGCTGCTGAGATACTGCACTTTTACAGTAGTTTTTAACATGAATACTGTAGTAACAGAAAAATTGATTTTCGAATTTCGACTAAAAATTTTATATAGAAATAAGCCTTGATGAAAATAGTTTATTGTGAAAGTTTCAGATATTTTTATTGTTTCTATTTCAAGATACAATCATGATAAAAGCGCGTCTGTGACATCGCTCATATATACCCACACATTCGATGTTCTTATTTCAGAACAAGAATAGATAAAATGGCAGCATACTTTCATGATTAAATATTCTCGTCAAGGCTTATTTCAATGCAAAGTTTCAAGTCGAAATTCGAAAATCTACGAGCTCGAACTGTTTTCCAGATATGTAAAAACTCATTTAGATCTACATGATGCGCATAGTCGTGACTCAAAAGTAATTAATCAGTCGAGCGACATTTCTCATGAGATATTATCGTGTGAATGTTTCAGATCTTGTTGTTGTTGTTGCTGTTGTTGTTCCTATCCCTAGATACAGCTACGGTGATAACGTGTCATTTATACCACTCATAGATAACAGTAGATTTAATGTTCTTATTTCAAGATAGAAGCAAATTAAAATACTTGAAACTTTTGCAACAAACTATTCTCGTTTAGCCTTGTTTCTGTACAATGTTTCCAGTTGAAATTCGAAAAATGAGTTGTTCTAGTGTGCCTAAGGGGAACTACGGTATTCAATTAAAAATTATCATAGCTTTGCTGTATCTATGCAGCAATAAGTTAAGAGTCTAAACTTTTTTCAGAATATTTAAAACATATTGTAAATCTACAGGATGCACGTAGTGTCGATTCAAACGCGATTAATTATTTGAAGGACTTCTCTTATAAGATAATATGACACTAGTAGATTATGTTACTTGATTTGATATGAGTCGGTTCAACAAAATTAAGCTCTATGGATCAAAGTTGGCATTGTAAAATATTTCGACAATAAAGAATACAATGATATGTTAATAAAAAACGAACAACAAATATTGATTTTGATAATATTTTTTTTATAGCCTCTGAACCGGTGTCATTACAGTCAAGTTCTCTGTCTTGGCCATTATCAACAGCTGAATCAGGTAGGATAATAGAATACATTTTTTTTGCTATTCAATTTTTTATTGATTTCTGGGCATTGGATATTGCATGATAATCGTTTGTGGGCAGTAGTAAAAGCTTTGGTGTATGCACTATTGCTTTTAATAGAACTATAGAATATCACTTTTTTTTTTCAAAAATGCATATGCACCTAAAAGAAACCACATGAACATGTAATGTGTATGTGATTAATGTTGGATTTGTACATTCTGATGAGAAATTGAATAGATGACTCTGTTACATATACACACGCATACATATTCGCTATATTCTTCTCTTATATAAAGAGTACAACAGTACTCATTTCTCTGTATCGCTGTGATACATACACACTCACACATTCGTTAAACATTCAAATCAAGAAATTCATTTTGTTTTTTTTTATCTGTGTATAAATTATAATGCCTACTATCTATGATGTACAACGTGAAGAGATGTATACAACTGATTCACGTTTAAATACAACATATGATGCATATAATTCTATTGGTTATATGTCAGCTATAGCACCACGTCAAGTTATTATAACTCGACCAGTAAAAAATTTTAGTAGTGGAAATCGAAGTATGACATCAAAAATGACTGTATCACAATCAATATCAAGTAATGCTGTACCATTACGTGGTACTATTGGTATTAGTAAGTGGGCATTAGTTCCATTTACTAGTCAACGTGTTGAAGAAAAACGACAATTAGCTGAATTAAATGATCGATTTGCTGAATATATTGGTAGAATTCGTTATTTAGAAGCTGTTAATCGTAAACTTAGTCGTGATTTGGATAATATACGTAATAAAAAAGGTATTGGTTTACAACGTATACGTGAAATAATAACACGTGAAAAAAAAGAAGCTGAAGATACATTAAAACGTATGGATGATGATGTACGTTCAGGACAAAATAAACGACAAGAAAGTGAACAACGTCTTAAACAAGTTGAACAACGTTTATCAAATGCACAACGACCTGAACAAATCAATAATGTTAAATATCAATTAAAACAATTGCGAGAAAAAATTATTGATCTTGAAAAAAAAATTGAATTAATACGAAAAACAATTCTTGATAATGATGATGAAATTACTTTGTATAATGCTGAATTACAACGTATTCGATCTGATGTTGCAAATCTTATATCTGAAATAGCTAATGAAACAACACAAAAACAATTATTAATAGCTGAAAAAACTGTTCTCGAACAAGAATTAAAAGCACTTGAAACAGCACATAAATTTGATATCGAACAAATTCGTTCAAAAGTTACTATAGCTAATGTTGATCCAGCACCATTTTTTGAAGGTGAATTAACATCAGCTATACGTGAAATACGTAAACAATTTGAAACATTAACTGATCAACAACAACAACAATTACAAAATTATTATCAAGCTAAAGTTAATGGATTAATTGAATATCATCAACCAAAACAACTTATTGAATCACAATGGCAAACAGAAAAAATTCGTGAAATAACACGTAGTATAACGGATGTACGTAGTCGAATTAATAATTTACAAATGGAAAATCAAGATCTTGATAGACAAATAATTGATATACGACAACAAATACAATCAACAACATATCAAGATGATCAACGTTTAATTGATGAACAAAAACATTTTCGAGATGAAATTGATCGTCTTAAAGGTTATATAAATGATTTAGAAAAATATCGTACAACACTCGAAGAAGAAATACATCGTTATCGTTTATTACTTGAAGGTAGTACAAATCAAATTGGTCTACGGCATTTTGCTGAAGAAGCAGAAAAAATAATGAATCGTGGTCGATCATTACTTGATTCACTTAATTTATGTTTAATGAGAAATATATCAGGTCCAATCAATTCACACAATATACATGAAGTTACATATTCATCAGCGACAACTGCTGGTATCAATACTCGATCACCATCAGTATCACGTGCTGATTCACCTCATTATTAATACTAACAAAAACAACAAATTTGTTGATCATAAACAAGCCAATATCTGTAGAAATAAAATATGTTTTAGTTTAAATAACCTTCATTCACGATTCTTATGTGTAGTTGTAACTTGAATAAAGCAGAAAAAAAAAAGAAAAATACAAAATCTCTAGCGAACATTATCCTTTGATAAATAATCATATGTTTGCCGTTCGAAATATGTATTCGAGATACATATTCCGAGTATGTGTGCGTGTGTATATATGTAAATGGCAAGATGAAATCTAAGCTTTTTTGAATAGATGAGAACGAGCGACAGAAATAGTATGCATGTTATTAACTATACAAATGTCTTTTGTCTTCTTTTGTACGTGTGCATTGTGTATCTTTAGCTTTAGGTTATATTATACATAGACGGGTTTATTTACTCGAGAAAAAGCACATCGGCCAAATGTACATAGAAAGAAAAGAAATAATTCTTCTCCTTTTTTTTTTCTTTTTCTCGTTCTTTATCTTGCCCGATGCGTCTCGCTTCGTTGCTATCTTAAGTAGGCTTGAAACTGTTTGTAGTATGTATGCAGACCACCATCGAATGATTAAACAGTAACAGGCAGTAAACAGAGAGAGAGGGACAGAGAAAAGAATTGATCTCGTTTTTTCTCCTCGATACAAATTCACAAGCAGAGGAAAAAATAATTGCCTACATATGCCCACCACAAGCAACTGTGGTGAAAGAGAGAGAGAGAAAGACAGACCGATAGAGAGAGCGAGCGAACAAGATAGATCTTATTTGCATGATGATGTTTCATTCGCCTCCTCTTTCTCGTCGAATCATAAAGCATATAGAACGCAAAAGAAAAAGAAAAAAAGTTTAGCTCGATAAAAGGGCCATGTCTACCCTTAGTTGCACTCATTTTTTTCTCCTTTTTCTTTTTTGTGTTTGTGTGTGCGTGCGTATATTTTATCACGAATATCCTATTGAGCTTCAGATTTCATCGCCAATACACTAAATAACAACAGCAACAAAAATATCAGTAAAATGCAAGGTTACGATGATGAATTCGCGAAGACAAGTTCGTCTTCATATAGTTCATATAAATCTCAAATAACACCACGATCAACAAATGTTCAACGTCGTTCAGGTGGTCCATCAGGTATAATGACACGTATGTATCAATCATATTCAACATCAGGTGGTAGCGGTGGATTTAGTACTGGTGGTCTTGGTGCTGGTTTATCAGGTTTAGCATCAATTGCTGGTCTTGGAAGTTTTTCTGGTATTCCATTACGACCAAATCGTGGTTCATCAGCATTAGTTGCTGTTAATGAAACACGTGAAAGAGAAAAACGTGAATTAAGTCAATTAAATGATAAATTTGCTCAATATGTTGAAAAAGTACGATTTCTTGAAGCACAAAATCGTAAATTACAATTAGAATTAGAAGCTTTACAAAATAAAGCTGGACAAGGTTCATCAAAAATCAAAGAAATGTATGAAGTTGAAATGAATGAAGCTAAAAAACTTATTGATGATACAACACGTGATCGTGCTGCTGCTGAAGTTAAAGCTCGTGATGCTGAAAAAGAAGCTGGTAAAATATATTTTGCTTTTTATTAATCAAAATTTTGAAATTTCAAAAATAAAAATAATTTTTTGTTAATTATTTAAGGTCGTTATCGTAAACGTTATGAAGAAATATTAAATAGTCGTGAAACTGATCGATCAGCTATTGATCGTCTTCAACAACAAATAGCTGAAAATGAAGCACAAATTAATTTATTCCGTCGTCGTTTAGGTGATCTTGAAGATGAAGCACGACGTTATAAAGCTGAAACACAACGTTTAGCATCGGAAATTGCACGTTTACAAAATGAAATACAAAATGAAACATTTGTTAAAAGTTCACTTGATACAGAAAAAATGGCACTTGAAGATGAACTTGCCATGCTTAAACAAATGCGTAAGTAAAATATAATAAAAAAAACAAATAATTTTTTTTAAAATTTTATTTCTCTATTCATATATAGATGAAGCTGATTTGAATGAATTACGTTCAAAAACTGTTGTTGATGTTAATTTGGATCCATCACACTTCTTCCGTAATGAATTAGCACAAGCTATTCGTGATATTCGTAATGAATTTGAAGCATTAAATGAACAACAACGTGCTGATTTACATAATCGTTATATGATGTCATACAATGAACTTATTTTACGTCATCAAAAACCAGATCTTGATCCAATTCAAAGTGAACAACAACGTGTACAAGAAGAAAAACTACGCACAACATTATTAACAACACGTAATGAAGTTGCACATATGAAAGCAAGAAATGAAGAATTAAATAATCGTATACGAGAACTTCAATTACATATTGATCAAGAACGTGATGACGGTATGAGAAACAAAAAAAAAAGAAAAAATAACAATATATAAATATTATATTATTTTTGTTTTAGGTGGTCGTTTAATACAAAAACGTGCTGCTGAAATTGAAGAATTACGTCGTAAATTAGAACAATTACAAAAAGAATATGAAGAAGTTACAAATATGAAGACATCATTAGAAAAAGAAATTAATACATATAGAGAATTACTTGAAGGAACAACTAATCGTGAAGGTCTTAAACAAATTGTTGATCATGTTGTTGAAGAAGCTCGTCGTATGGAAGCTGAACGAGCTGCTGGTTCGGGTGTTTCTGGTTCAATCTCATATTCAGGTGGTGGTGGTCGTTCAACAACAATTTCACGTACATTTATTAGTAGCAGTGGATCTGGATCAGCCGGTGCTGGAATTAGTGGTTTAGTCACTGGTGGTGCTGGTCGTGTCAGCAGTAGTTATGGTGGTACACAAGGAGGTAGTGGTGCCGCATATTCGCATGCATCAAGTCGTCGCGAATATACATCATCAAGTTAAACATATCGGGAAGAAGAAATCTTGAATCAAAAGATTAATAAAAAAAAATAAAAAAATAAACTTTTCTCATACTTATCATTTTTAACCTCTAAGTGTATCTCTCTTTCTCTCTCTCTGTCTTTGTGTTTATTAAGGCTAATTAGATCAGTTTTTTTGTTGTGTAAGAAAAAAAAAAATATTTGTTTTTGGTGTTCAGGTCATCCTTTTAGCAATATATATGTATATGATTTGAAAGAGGAGAAAGATTTGGCAGTTTTGTTTTGCACATTCATTTTGCTTTGGTGATGGATTATAAATTATAAATTGTATAGAAATTTAAAAGCAATGGTGATGGATGAACAAAAAATGGAAATCTATACAAAAATAATGAATGATTAATGTATTGACAAAATGATTTATAAGAAAATTTTATTTGAGAATAATCAGTTAAAGTTTTTCTGATGATTAATCAACAGTAAAAATAGTTCGATATTATTTTTCATTTCGAATCTAGATCGATAACTTTAAAAGAATAGTCTGTTTCAATCAGATTTCATTAATAAAACTTCTAAATTTCAATTTTTAAACATGTAGAAGAAGAAACTATGTTTTTTTTTTTATTATGAGTAGAATTAATCATCGAACGTAGTATAGAGTTACTAATAGCAATAATCATTTGTGTGACAACTTAGAAGAACTAGATATATTTATCATTAGCAAGGATACTGTTGACAACATCGATCAAATAAATTGAATAACATATAATCTTACTAGAAAATATGAATTCATTTGAGTTTCTTATTTTCATCAATAAAAACAAGAAAAAAACTACTTTTAGCTGATAAAATCCATTATTATTATTAAAGTTTTAATATGCAAAATATATTGCATAATTATCATATTTATGATATGCTTAAGTTGAAAGGATCAAATATTTTTATAGTGTATGTCATTGATTTTTATAGAGGCCAATGTCATTAACTTTTCTCTTTCTAATCATAAAGTATTTGATCTCTTAATCATTTATCTTCTTGATGCATTGCAAAAAAAAAAACCACACTCATGACGATTACACTTATAGAAAAATAATACTAGCTTAATTGATGTTCAATCAAATTACTTCATATTTAGTTGAGTGCAAAAGATTTTTTGTTAATATTAATTTTATATATATTCATAGATTATATAATATCAAGACAATTAAATCTTTTCTTATTAATTCTAATTAAAAAACTAGAATTCTTTTTTTTTTTAAATATTAATGAATATCATGAAACATTGAGAATAATGTCCTTAGAAAAGAATGTAAGATGATATATTCAGGATATAGTTTTAATTTCCTGAAATGAAATACATATAATTATTAAGAAACTAGTGATTAGTGTCAATTTTCAATTACTCGATTTTTTTTCTATCCAATGAAAATTCTTGAAACACATTATATCGAAATTTCTTTCCTTCTTAAGATATGTATCAGATCAAGGTTAAGTGAAGAAAAAAAAACAACAAAAATTCTGAATATTAATGGTTCAATAAATAAGACATTCGTAGTTATGGAAAGAATCCTTTTAAAATTCTATACTCATTGATTGCCTAATAAACCGATTTGTCTTCATTTATATATATATATATACATTTGGTAATGTTCATTCAACATCGAAAGATCTCATTAGATACGAACGCGTGCTTCGCATTGGATCTTCCGATTGATAATTTTGTCTTATTTTCTTTCATATTCGACTATTGACGAAGATGCGTCAAGTACATAGACACACTACTTATTTCTATCAATCAGGAAATGACATCCTTTTAAGAAAAATTGATGCTGATGAGACTATTGTTATTGTACTCTTTATATTTATTCAGAGTACATAGAGAGCGAAAGAAAAAGGAAAAACGATTAAGAATTTGTGTATTTTTTTTATTATGTCCGAACGTTTTGTAAATATAATTAGATTCCATCAAAGGTTATAAAATAAGAAAAATTTCCAATCATTTTTGTAACTCATCGTGTATGTAATTTATATTTTCTCATCAGACATGTACGTCATCATTATATATCGTCTTTTTCCATTACGCATGATTGTGGAGTGACACGAGTAAGGCTAAATAACGTCGTTGAGTTAAAGACGTATAACTATCTTTATTCGTTGTTATGAGTAGAACAAGCAGACGTATACGATAGACCCACAAATAAGAATAATAAGATGGCAAGGATGATGATAATCGAGAATACTGAAAAGAAGAATTTTTCTTCGACACGTTAATCAATAAGCTTCGAGAAAAAAGGGGGTATAACATCGTTGCTTGTTTTTTCCTTCCTAAGCTTTGTATGCGCCATTAGAATAATCAGTATATTAAAAAAAGTCTTGCCGAACGGTAGTAAACAAGCCTATACGATGTGGTTTTTTCAATGTAGACAAGGATCGATTGGTGTGTACATTCACTGATCGGACGTATTTCCGTACGGTATGCCATTCCAATAATTGATTATGAGATTCTTATAGGCAATTCATATATATAAGTGTTTCTTGAGAAAAACATTTAAAGACTCATATACATATATATATATATATATATATATATGTGTGTGTGTTATTTCGAGAATATTGAATTTGGACAAAAAAATAATTATATATGCATACATGCAAATTAATGATTCTTTCGTATTTTCATAACATTAAGTGACTTGTTTTGTAGCACAACTCGGAAGAATAACACCATAAATATAAACTTAAATATATTCGGAAGATGATTTTACTATAGAGAGTTTCGTCTTTGGCGTTGTTTTTCTTCACAAGGTCATCCTTTTATATAAATTTCTTCGCCTGGGAAATAATGTTCGAGGTTAAATATACTTTTTTTCAGATCGAGTCTTTTGTTATTGGTCTCATTGCATGTTGTTATTAGAAACTACAAATATTAAAGTAGAGTTTGATTTAAATAAGTAATTACATGGTCAAAAGATAAATCGGAAGTTGTAGACCAGATGTTTCTTTTTCGTTTTTTTTTTACGAAGTTATTCTTAGGAAAGTGTTGATTTACAATTGTATATTATTATGTAAGGCTATATAAGCACATCAATCATTACTATCTCCTATCATCAATTGGAATCTATAGGTGGCGTATTTTATTCTTATTAGAAATAATTGATATTTGAATTTATTTATTTTAACAAAGAACAGATTTCAATCATCAATATTAAAATAAAGACAAAAAAAAGAGAAATCATTGAATGTGTATGTGATTGCTTATTAATAAAGAACTATGCATTCTTATGATTTATTCATAAATATATATCTCTATATATGTCACTGTGTAGTGTCTATTTTTTTTTTCATATAAATTGTCCTTTTTAGCATTCGAGATTCAATTGGTTTTGCTCTAACTAACTGCATAGTACCAATCAATCCCTTGTTTCTTTTTATATTCATTTTTTTTTCCTTCTTTTGTATACTCAGATCGAATATTAAAATAATCCGTTCATTACTTCCCGCTCACATACATACGCCTACATATTCATTTAGGAATAATTTTATTATTACAGATCGTTGCATAAAATTTGGTTCTATTTGCTATTGAATGATGATGACTAGTGCACATCATACAAATAGACATACAACTGATCTTTGCGCACCATAGTACATCATCACGCAATCGAAGATAGAGGGAAAGAGAGAGAGAGAGAGAGTGGATGCATCGCGGATGAAATTACCACATCTCTTCAATTCCTACTATAATGAAGAGAGGAAAGGAGTAATAGAAGAAAAAAAAACAGTTTTTTTTTCTTTTTATTTTTTTTTACTATCAGAGCAAACAAGAGAAAGTTTGAACCACTTTCTTTCTCGTCGGACGATGAGAAGCACAGAAAAAAAGAAAATGGAAATGCCACTGTTGCCGTTACTTTTGCCTTAGGAGATGGGCTTGCATATTTTGTTCACAGTAACAAGTAGCACAAGCCAAGAAAGAGAGAAAGAGAAGACGAAGAAAAAAGAAAGAGTTGTTATTACTCGTCTCAGTAGCTCGGTAAGAGAGAAAGAAAATGGAGCTAGGAAAAATTGTTTTCTATTTTTCTTGATTCATGCATATGATCTCGTTTAGCGGATAGTAGTAGCTATTGTGGCCTAAAACAAAAAAAAAAAAACTTTTAGTTTTCCCATAGGAAATTCTAGAGAAGAAAAACCTCTACAACGTCATCCTATATTCATTTTCTTAAAGATCGGAGTATACGCACTCTTCCATTTAAAATTTATAATTTACATATTTTCTTTTCTATTATTACTTTTAATACGGGAAAGGCAAGTAGAATTATTTATCATATATTTATTTAAAAAAAAAGATACTATTTGATTTTCTTTTTCTTTTTTTTCTTCTTATATTGTCATTATTGTAGTTTCGCCACTAGTTATTATATCAATGGATAATCGTGGTAATTATCGAGATTCAGATCGTGATCGTGATCGTGATGGATCAAATACTCGACGTAGTGGTACTGATCGTGGAGGAGATCGTGATCGTGACGAACGAGATCAACGTCGTGATGCTTCTTCATCATCAACTCAACAACATCGAAGTGAAGAAGAAGAAACGACCTATTATCGATCACAAATTGCTCCGCGTGCAACAAATATTACACATCGAGTATTGCCTCCATCCAGTAATATTATGATGGAACGTTTCTATTCCTATGGTACTGGTTCTGGTGTTCCACTCAAACCAGGTGCTAAATCAGCTGCTGTTGTGGCAATTCAGTAAGTCAAATCAAAACAAATACACTATTTCATTGCTACACTGTTTAACATCTATCATTCTATTACATAAATCAAACCATTAATCAAAAATGTGTGTGTGTGTGTGTATATATGTTTGTTCTCTGATAAACTAGTTTGATTACTGAATAGTATGCGTAGTATTAATAATAGTAATGTTACCCGCCTTCTTCGTATACGTATGTAATATGACGCTGGATAGTATGAAAAGAAAGCCCAACTGTGCATGACACCATATGTTATGGATAGTATATGATGTTAACGACATTGATATGTATATGTCCAAAATGTTGTTTGACTACTGACAATATTGATTTTTGACAAGAATCAATAAACAAAAGAACAACAGAGAGAGAAAAGATTTTTCTTGAAGATATTGTTAAGAATTTTGCATGAAACTTAAGTTTCTAGAACACTTACAAAATTATTCTAATTAAGTTTTTCTATAGATTTCATGACAGATATCTATCAACATATGTTGTTTGTCTTATTTGGTATATCTTTGATAACATCGAATGAAGGACATAAATAATAAAAAAAAATATGTTATTTAAAAAGTTATGATAAGAGACTTTCTCATGGGATAAAAAATAACATATAGAAATAGAAGTACAATATTTGAACTTGTTTCTTGTGAGATCGCAATGGTGATTTTCTAATTGAAAAAGAAATAATCATAATAATAATTTATTTTATCCTCATGAGTATATGAATGGCTGAATGAATTATATTTTCTTTTTTTTTTTTCAAGGGAAAATCGTGAACGTGAAAAACGAGAATTAACTCATTTAAATGATCGTTTTGCTTCATATATTGAACGTGTACGATATTTGGAAGCACAAAATAAAAAACTTCAACTTGAACTTGAACATCTACGGTAAGTTTTTCTATGATTTTTTTAAAAACTCATTCAAATAAATGAAAATTTATTTTTTTTTTTCAAAGTGGAAAATGGGGTTCACAAACAAGTAAAGTAAAAGAAATGTATGAAGTCGAAATACGTGAAGCTCGTCATATTATTGATGATACAGCAAAAGATCGTGCTGCAGCTGAACTTCGAGCTAAACGTGCTGAAGAAGAAACATTAAAATTTAAAGACAAGTATTTTAAAAATCTATACTTTGTTATATAATCGTATTAAAATAATCTTTGTTTTTCTTATTTTTTTAGATATGAAACATTACTAGCTGGAAGAGACTCCGATCGAGGAAAAATACAAGTATTACAAAAACAATTAGCCGATAATGAAGCTGATCTTAATCTATTCCGACGTCGTTTAGGTAGAGTTTTGAATATTTTATTGAAAGACAAAAAAATATGTTTTTTTTTTTTTTGTTTTCTAGCCGATTTAGAAGATGAACAAAAACGTTATCGTGCAGAATCACAAAAGCTCATCTTAGATATTCAACGTGTAACACAAGATTTAGATCAAGAAACAATAGCACGTGTACAACTTGAAAATGAAAAACAAAGTCTTGAAGAAGAAATTAATTTTTTAAAAGAAATTCATGCACAAGAAATTGAAGAATTAAAACAAGCTAATCTTATTGGTACAGCATTAGATCCAGCAAATTTTTTTAAACATGAATTATCAAATGCTATACGAGATATACGAGAAGAATATGAACAACTTAATAATCAACAACGTAATGAACTTGAATCATGGTATCGTTTAAAAGTTACACAAGCTGTAAGATATTTTATAATTAATTTATACATATTATTATATTCATTTTAATTAGGTACAAGAAATTCAATCTCGTCGTGCTATTGAAGCACCAGAAAATATTCGTGAAAAAGAAGAAGTTAAAAAATTACGAACATTAGTTACTGATTCAAGAAAAGATATTACTGCTATGAGACAAAGAGTAAATATTTAATATAAGACAAAAGAAAAAATATTAATATATTTTATTTAGAATGGAGAATTAGAAAATCGTATTCAAGAATTAGAAGAACTCGTACAAATTGAACGACGTGAAGGTATTCAAGCAGCCAGTGAACGTGATCGAGAAATACAAGAATTACGAGCTCGTCTTGAAGAATTAGGACGTGATTATGATGAACTTGTTACAACAAAATCATCTCTTGATGCTGAAATTGCAATTTATAGAAAATTACTTGAAGGAGAAGAAAATCGGTATGATAAAAAAAAATCAATATTAACATTAAAAAATTCTTAACAAGAATTTGATCATTTTTGTTTTTCCAGACAAGGTTTAAAACAAATAGTTGCAAATGTTGAAGAACAAGCTCGAAAAGATTTTGCTACTGCTGGTGGAGCTACTGGTGGATTTAGTTCATCAAGTGCTGGTGGTGGTGGTGGTGGCGGCGGTGGTGGTGCTGGTGTAACATCATATTCTTATTCACGTTCTTATCGAACAACAAGTGGCGGTCAAGGTAAGTGATTATATATATATATATACCTAACTACACTATGCACCCCTGTTATGTTACTCATTGTGTTGATGCACATATTGCATGTTGAATATCTATATTTATCCTTGCTTGATTTTTCTGTTGCACGATCCTTCAAAATGAAATGTTAAAAAAAAAAGTAAAATTCATATCGATAACGACCGAATGTCAAATCTTGACATAGTAAAAGAGTAATGATTATATTTATATATGTAAAATGTTTAAATGTTATTTTCTTTTTTCTTTTTTTGTGGTCTATGAAGATAAGAGATTCATTTAATTTTTTTTGTCAATCGACCGTAAATAATAATTCTAAACGAAATCATTTCATCAAACCATCCATCGTATGATTTATTTTTTTAGGTTCGATTGGCAATGAATGAATATATTAATCATCAAATATTTAATTAATACAAATATCATGAACATAGTTTATTCTCCTAGTCAATTGTTTCGTTTCGTTTCTTTTTTTTTTGCTGTTAGCAATGTATACATTAACCAACTTTTTTTTTCTTTCTCCTTCGTTAGATTTCCTTTTCTTTTTCTCTGTATTGAAAACAAAATGAGTAGGCAAGGAAATACGACAAAGAAAAAACAAGCACAAATCCATTTCATAATTTATAGCAACTCATTTTATTCATTTCCGAAAAAAAAAAAAAAGAAGAAGAAAAAATTTTTCTCTTCTTCTACTTCTTTTGGGTATAGGAAAATGAAGAAGAGCAAAGAAAATTTTCTTTTTTTTTTCTTTTTTTTTTGTTTTATAATCATATTTTTCTTTTGAAGGAGCAGAGATTTGCATGTTTGCACCGCTTCTCCTCTTACCTTACTTTGCCTGTTTAGTATTGTGATTGTATGCGTATTTTATATTATTGTATTTAGCTAGTTTACAAATAAATAATGGGTGTTTGAAAGAAAATATACAAAAAAAAAAAAAAGAATTTAGCTTAAGCATGTTGTCAAAAAATATTATGCATTCGGTAATATCTCTGATAACAAGAAATTTGTATTGAATCAATGAACTAGAAAATGAGCTAGATGAATATGTAATAATAAAAAGAAAAATATTTTTCTGACGAAGTATCGAACAGAAGATATTGTTGTTTAATAAGATTGAAATCAATCTTTTTTCTCATTATTATCATCATTGTTGTTGTTGTTATTGTTGTCATCGTCATCATCGTCGTTATTAAATGTTCGTCTTAATTTTATAATTTAATAAAAATCAAAGAATATCATAATACTTATAGAATCAGAAGATCGATCATCAACTGAACGAGATACTAGTGGAACTCGTCGTGGTCGTGAACATACACCATCAGGTGGTGATAATCGTAATCAAGATGAATTTTACCGTTCCGGTGGAGGAACAAGTTCATCATATGAACGTCATTCAACACCAACATCATCAACATCTGTTGATAATATTCGTGGTAATATTGATCGTTATCCACCAACAATTCATGAAGAAACTAGTCGAATTGGTAGTAGTACTGTTAAACGGCTTCGAGATCAAGGTGAATCTACTGATCGTGGTTCTGGTGGTCGAGGTACAGGTATAGAAGGTGATGATTCATCATTAGAAGATCCAAATGAACGACGTGATCGTTTACAATCAACACGTAAAGATGAAGGTTATGGTCAAATTCGTTGTGGTTTTCGTTATGATCGTGCACGTGGTAAACTTATTGTTCGTATATATGAAGCACGTGATTTAATTAATACGGATAAGAATAGTCTTTCAGATCCGTATGTACGTTTATTATTATTACCTGATAAACGAAAACGAACCAAACGACGTACAAAAGTTATGAAAGATACATTAGTACCTGTTTTTGATGAAACATTTGAATATGATATGACATATGAAGAAGCAAAATTAAAAACATTAGATCTTGTTGTTAAAAATGATCGTTCACTTTTTTCAACAGAAAAAGTTTTTATGGGTCAATCATTAATTACATTAGCTAATTATAATATTGATGATGGAAATTTAATTGATGATTGGTTTACACTTGAACCTGAAGGAGCATTGGCTTTACGACTTAAAGCACTTGATGCATAATTTAATACATGAACAAACTTTAGATGTTGTATTTCAGTGATATATACTTTTTAATCTCTATATTAGATTTCTTACAATTGCTTATAGTTCAGTTTGCTCATTAATTATTGTATTCTTAAATTAGCTATCGCTTTCTTTTTTCTTTCTTAATACACGTAGTTTCAGCTGATGCATTTATACACAAAGCATGATGAAATGATTGATTGATCAATGATTATATGCATGATTTTGATGCAAGACGAAGGATGAGAAAACAACAGAAAAAAAAGAAAGAATAATTCATTTTTTGTTTTTTTTTAATATTCAATTTATAGGGCATAGTAGCGATGTTTTACCATTAGTATCATATACACCATTACAGATTTCATCTTCAACTACATCAGAATCAACAATTTTTGAGCAAGTCTACGGTGGTCATCGACGTCGACCAGCAATGATTAGTTTAAATGTTCAATGGGTACCTGTTAGTGATCGTTCAGGTACTTATCAATGGAGTGGAAATGATGTTAACAATCGAAAAGTAAAGACAGTAACGTTTTTTGGTACTGGTGAAATGCGTGGACAAAAGCAATCCCAAGCTATTACACCACCACGTTCTGATTATACAGATGCATATCTATCAGCTTTTGCTCCGAAACCAATATCAACTAAACATGTACATCGATTAAGTACTGCTGTATTTGCTAATGCTGCACCAATTCCACTCAAACCAATTACTCCATCTTTATCTACAAATGATTCTATGAAAACGAGTCACACTCGTTTTATTAATATTAATAATATTCAACCATCGAAACCATTCGATAAACCCACACCCTCTTCGTCTAGTCAAAGTTCAACTTATTCATCAAGTTTTATTTCAGACAGATCAACTAAATATGAACCATTTTCAAGTACACAATATTCTTCACCTCAATCTCAAACATTTGCTTCGAGTTATTCAACATTAATTCATACTCCAATGTCAACTGTTACAACCACTCCAAGTCCAAGTGTTGATAATCAACGATCTTATGCAACTGTTCAACCTCATTTTCAACCACTCCTATCCACATTACCAATTGTTTCTCAATCTAAAACATCCTATGGAAATATATACAAACCTATACCAGCTTATTCGTACGAATCTTATCCACCGTCAAATACCTATACAACATCTTTATCATCATCATCGACACAATCAACATACAAACCACAAGTGCCATTTCAGTCTGTTCCATTACCATCTAGTTATAACATTAATCAAAGTAATATTAGAGAACCACTATTTCAATCAACTACGAAAATGGAAACACAAATTGATCGTCCTGAAACATTTGTAGTTCAACATGACGAAGATAGTCGATCATCAAGAATCGAAAAACCATTGCCAATTATTAATCCTCCACCTCAATCTCCTATCACACGTGAAGAACTTAAAATTGAACCTGAACGTTTACATATGGAAGAATTAACAGAGATTTCTTCAGAACCTATTCGAACTCTTGAAAATACTCTTGACAAATACGATTCATTAATCAATCAAATTTCAGAAGTCCTTGCTAGTGTGTCACCATTGAGTTCTAAAGTGAGCAGCATGACTGCAGGAAAAAGTGTACACGACTCTCAAACTTTTTCTGACAGTTCATCAGTTTTACCAGTTACACGTACTCAAATCCAACCATCGGAATCATCAACGACTACAATGGTTACAATGAGTACAACAGACCAACCAAAACCAAGTCATCTCATTCGTCGAGATTCATATGATAAAATTGTTACTGTTATAAAGGATATTGATAAAGAAATATTTTCATCTGATACTCCACTCTCATCAGCTACTATTAAAGAAGAAAAAGAAGAAGCAAAACCTTCATTAGTACACGAACAGCAACTCTCACCAATCGTTGAAAAAGAAGACAAAGAGGCAAAAATTGCAACGACAGAAGAACAACAAGTTTCATCAGTTTTGACGGAACAGAAGGAAGATCAAGCAAAAGCTTTATCAACTGATGAACAACAAACTTCGTCAGTAACGCAAGAAGAGAAACAATATACGAAAATTTTACTAGTAGATGAACAGCAAGCCCTACCAATTATAGAACAACAAGACAAAGAAACAAAAATTTCATCTACAGAAGAACAACAGATTTCATCAATATCGACAGAACAGAAGAAAGATGAAGTCAAAACTTTATCCACAGAGGAACAACAAGCTCCATCAGTAACGGAAGAAGAAAAGCGAGAAGAAACGAAAACTATATCAACTGATGACCATCAAATTCCATCCGCAATTCAAGAAGAGAAACAAGAAGCGAAGGTTTCATTAGTAGACGAACAACAAATCTCAGCAATCACTGAAAAAGAAGACCAAGAAATAAAAGCTGCATCTACAGAAGAATATCAGGCTCCGTCATTAACAGCAGAAGAGAAACTAGAAGAAACAAAAACTCTATCTGTCGATGAACATCAAATTTTATCGACAATTCAAGAAGAAAAAGAAGAAACGAAACCTTTATCAGTAGACGAACAGCAAGTCCTACCGATCAATGAAGAACGAGATGAAGAAACAAAAACTGTATCTACAGAAGAACGTCAAGTTTCGTCAATATCGACGGAGCAGAAGGAAGACGAAACAAAAGCTTTATCCACAGATGAACAGCAAGCTCCAACAGTAACGAAAGAAACAAAAACTTTATCTATTGATGAACAACAAAATCTATTGACAACTCAGGAAGAAAAACCAGAAACAAAGGCTTCATTAGTACATGAACAGCAAGCCCTACCAATTATGGAACAACGAGAAGAAGAAAAACAAGTTACATCTACAGAAGAACAACAGGTTTCATCAGTTTTGACGGAACAGAAGGAAGAAGAAGCCAAAACTTTATCCACAGATGAACAACAAGCTCCGTCAGTAACAGAACAAGAGAAGGGAGAAGAAACAAAGACTGTATCTGTAGATGAACATATTACTCCGTCAATAACAGCAGACGAGAAGATAGAGGAAACGAAAACGTCATCCGTAGATGACCATCAAGTTCCGTCAACAACTCAGGAAGAAAAAGAAGAAGGAAAAAGTTTATTAGTAGGTGAACAGCAAGTTTCACTAGCCACTGAAAAAGAAGACGAAGAAAGAAAAACTGCATCTACAGAAGAATATCAGGTTCCGTCGATATCGACGGAGTGGAAGGAAGACGAAGCAAAAGTTTTATCCACAGAGCAACAACAAGTTCCATCAGTAACGGAAGAAGAGAAGCAAGAAGAAACGAAAATATCGTCTACCGATGAACAACAAATTCAGGCAATAACTGAAGAAGAGAAAACGAAAGAACCAACGACTATATCGGTTGATGAACATCCAAGTACAGCATTAATTGAAGAGAAGGCAGAAGAACCGAAGGTTTCTACTTCAGAGGAGCGTCAGTTTCCATCGGTAAGTGTCGAAGACAGAGTGGAAACAGTAACCACATCGACAGAAACACATCAAGTTTCATCGACGACCGAAAAAGAAAAGGAAGAACCAAGCCCTCATTTATCAGATGAACATCAAATTCAATGGCCAGTTCAAGAAGAAACAAAAGTCCCTATCTCAACAGAACAAGAAGCACCAATAATATCTGACGAATTACAAGCTATGTCGGTTGCACCATCGTCAGATATTGCTGTAAGTGAAATAGCTCAATCCAGTCAGCAAACAGTTTTACAAGAAAATATAGCGCATGATGTGTTCGCAGAAAGAGAAACAAGTAAAACTATCACTGATTTAGAATCAACAAAAAGACCCGGGAAACGCGTTACATGGGACGAAACCGTTGTGGATAATGAAGATGCCGAAAACTCATCACTCGAAAGTGTCACAGAAGAAACTAGTACTACTGAAACTTCAATCACAACAAAACCTGAAGAGGATAGCACAGCTGCAACTATTGACAACGAATATGTGATTATACCTAAATCAGAAATTAGTGTCGACCAACAAATAATACCTTCAGATGTTATCAAATCACAGATTACTTCTGATGTGGACTTCAGTGATTTACAGATCATTTCTACTGAACAACAGGTTAGTACATCAACCTATTCAGATGATCAAACAAGTCTACAAGCAGCTACTAGTGAACAAATCCATCCAATTGATATTCCTGAAAAGCAAATTATCTTATTCGATTCTACTGAACGACAAACAGAATCTTTTAGTCCTCTTGAACCATCGTCAACTTTCTCAGAATCTACTGATAAAGAAATTACTTCTTCAGATTTGACGAAATTATCATTGGGTATTAATGAACAACAAATCCGTCCAACAAGTCCACTTGACAGTCAATCAGTATCGCTTACTGATTCTTCAAAAGAAGATACGCTTACTGTTGATGAAATATCAACAACAACCTCAGATATTATTAGTAGTGAAGATGTCAGTAAACATGAGGAAGAATTAGAACCTACGAAAACAGAACCAAAAGAAGAAATGACAATTGATTTACATAAAATTGAAACTTCTTCACAAATTGCAGAAAATATACCACGTGAATCTGAAACATCAACTATTGAAAGCACAACTATATCATTACAACCAACAATTATAAGTCCGATTGATACACTTTCAGATATAATCGCTAATCGCTATATCAGCAGCGATGTATATCATGGTTGTTTGGGTGAACAAAAACAGTTTTTACAAGTAGGTCATATCTTTTTTGTTTTCAATAATTTATATTGATATAAACAATTTTCATTATTTCAATTAGGATATATCCGATATAGATAAAGATTATACTTCAAAATCACTTCTGACTTCTCTTCGTGAAACTATCACAACACCTACTGAAATAATTCAAAATGAAGTACCAATGAGTCTATCATCAATAGATACACATATACAAGAAGAACAAGGTGTTCAACAAGAAAAACTTGAAAGTCAATTATTAGAAGGTAGTGTTCCAGTGGATACTATACATGATCAAACCATAGCCGATCTTACAAAGCCACACGATACTGTTGTGACTGACAGTTCAGTTTCAACTGTATTAGATACTACTAGTGCTACCACTGAACAAGTAAGTGAACAAAAAGAAAAACAAGAAACAATATCTCCAGAATCTACACCATCTGAAATTCCGGTAAAGTTATTTTTGAGAGACTGTCAGTTAAGAAATTTAACTTGAAAATTTAGGAATCTACTTCTGCTGTTCAAAAGACAGAGGAAACAACAACAATCGAACGTGTTGAATTTACTCCAGTTACTCAACATGATGAACAAATATCAACATCTAGTCCTGTAACAAGAGAACAAAGAGATATTTCTGATAAACAAGAAATGATTTTAACCGAACCTCCATCCACCGATATATCAGTAAGTATTCTTTAAAACATAGAATTTAAAAAAATTTTTCTTTAAAATTTTAGCCTATCCTATCGGTTGATCAAAAGACAGAAGAACTACCAGCAAGAGAAGACCATACAATCGAGAACTTGACATCGACTTCCGTTACTCAACATGATGAATCCACACCCATATCTACTATTATTCCATCTGAACAAATTCATATTGACGATAAACTAGAAGCAATACATCCTGGAATACCTGTAAGTTGTTCTCTGAAAAAAAAAGTAATCTTCTAAAATTAATTTTTAAAATTTAGGAAATTAAACCTATTGATCAACTGACAGAAGAAATACGATTAACGGAAGAGAAAACTAGTGCAAGTAGTTCATCTCTAACAAAAATTGATCATGATGAACAAGTTCCTCTATCTACTTCTACTCCCTCTGAACAATTAGATGTTATAACTAAACAAGAAATAGTTGAACCTGAAATAACAACATCTGAAAAATCAGTATGTTCTACTTCAGGGAAAATATTCTCAATACAATTTTAAAATTTAGAGTGTAATAACTACTGAACAAATTCCTGATGCAAATGTACCAACAGAAACAAAAACGACTTTTGAAGTTCTTCGTGACGTTATTACACATCCAATAGCAACAATTACTGAGAAAATTCAAAGTGTTATATCTACTTCACCCAGCGAACAAACTGAACAAGCCCCATCCGATGCTACACAACCTTCTACTAGTACATCAGAAGAAGTAGAAACTTTGAAAGAGCAACAAGTTATTGAAACAGAAGTGAGTTTGATATTAAAAAAAACTTATCCAACAAAGCATATTCAATATTTAGAATCTTTCTACCATTGAACAAAAGGATGAGGCTATAACTGTCGAATCTACTGACACAAAAACTACATTCGAGAATATACGCGATATTATTACACATCCCAT